AGAGAAATGAGAGAATGCCAGTTTTTCCATTTACACACCAGCACTGGAGATGATTATTTAAAATTTTTGTTGTTCTCAGAGGTATAAAGTTGTACCTCATTATTATCTACTTTTTATTTCTTGGTGAAAGCTGAGGTTGAGTATTGTTCTCTGTGTCTGTCTACCTACATTCTTATGGAACTCATGCTCCTTTTCGTGCTTTTATTTTTAAGATTGTTGAAGACAGTTGTGGAAGGCAGACTCAGCTATTTAATTAAGTGTGAATGGAAGGCATTGGCTGGAGGGAACACAAAGATGACTAAGATACCATCCCTGCTTTCTTCTTTTTTTTTAAGTTGAGATATAATTGGCATACAAGACACTATATTAGTTTCAGGTATACAACATAATAATTTGATATTTGTACGTATAGCAAAATGATCACCACAGTAGTCTAGTTAACATCCATCACCACACATACAGAATTTTTTTTCTGGTGATGAGAACTTGTAAGATCTACTCTCTTAGCAACTTCCAAATATGCGGTTCAGTGTTGTTAACTAGTCACCATGCTGTCTACAGCATTCCCGTGACTTACTTATTTTATAATTGGAAGTATATACCTTTTGACTCCCTTCATCTGTTTCACCCCCCACTTCCCCACCCCCTGGCAACCACCAGTCTGTATCTGTTCTTTTTATCTATGAACTTTTTTTTTGTTCCACATGTAAATGAAATCATATGGTATTTGTATTTCTCTTACTTAATTTCACTTAGCATAATGCCCTGAATATCCATCATTATTGTTGCAAATGGCAAGATTTCATTCTTTTTTATGGCTGAATAATATTCATATATATATATAAAATATTTTCTTTATCTATTCATCTGTCATTGGATGCTTAGGTTGTTTCCATATCTTGGCTATTGTAAATAGTGCTACAGTGAACATGGGATGAAGATATCTTTTCTTATTAGTGTTTTCATTTTCTTCAAATAAATACCCAGAAGTGGAATTGCTAGATCATGTAATAGTTCTATTTTGAATTTTTTTTTTTTTTATTTGCGGTACGCGGGCCTCTCACTATTGTGGCCTCTCCCATTGCAGAGCACAGGCTCCAGACGCGCAGGCTCAGCGGCCATGGCTCACGGGCCCAGCTGCTCCGCGGCATGTGGGATCTTCCCGGACCGGGGCACGAACCCGTGTCCCCTGCATCGACAGGCGGACTCTCAACCACTGCGCCACCAGGGAAGCCCCTCTATTTTGAATTTTTTTTTTTTTTTTTTTTTTTTTTGCTGTACATGGGTCTCTCACTGTTGTGGCCTCTCCCGTTGCGGAGCACAGGCTCCGGACACGCAGGCTCAGTGGCCATGGCTCACGGGCTCAGCCACTCCGCGGCATTTGGGATCCTCCCAGGCCGGGGAACGAACCCATGTCCCCTGCATTGACAGGCGGACTCTCAAGCACTGCGCCACCAGGGAAGCCCTATTTTGAATTTTTTGATGAACCTCCATGCTGTTTTCCATAGTGGCTGCACCAATTTACGTTCCCACCGATAGTGCGTGAGGGTTCTCTTTTCTCCTCATCCTCACCAGCACTTATTTCTTGTCTTTTTGATAATAGCCATTCTAAAAAGTGTGAGGTGATATCTCATTGTGGTTTTGATTTGCATTTCCCTGATGATTAGTAATGTTGAGCATCTTTTCATGTACCTATTGGCCATCTGTATAACTTCTTTGGAAAAATGTCTATTCAGATCTTCTGTGCATTTTTCAATTGGATTATTTGGCGGGGGCAGGGGGTTTGCTATTGAGTTGTATGAGTTCTTTATATATTTTGAATATTAACCCCTTATCAGATACATGATTTGCGAATATTTTCTCCCATTCAGTAGGTTGCCTTTTTGTTGTTGTCGCTGATTTCCTTTGCTGTGCAGAAGATTTTAAGTTTGATGTAATCCCACATGTTTATTTTTTGCTTTTGTTGCCTTTGCTTTTGGTATCAAATTCAAAAAGTCATCACCAAGATGAATGTCAAGGAGCTTACTGCCTATGTTTTCTTCTAGGACTTTTATGGTTTCAGGTTTTACATTCAAGTCTTTAATTGGTTTTCAGTTAATTTTTGTGTATGGTGTAAGATAGTGGTCCAACTTAATTGTTTTGCAAGTTGCTGTCCAGTTTTCCCAACACCATTTATTGAAGAGACTGTCCTTTCCCCATTGCATATTCTTGGCTCCTATGTTATAAATTAGTTGACTGTGTGTGGGGGTTTATTTCTGGGCTCTCTATTTTGTTCCATTGATCTATGTGTCTGTTTTTATGCCAGTATTTTACTCTTGATTACTAGCTTTGTAATATAGTTTGAAAACAGGCCTCCTTGCCTTCTTAAGTAGGATCTTCTTAAGTAGGATATGCAAGTCAAAGAGATGGATATGAATATGCATAGAAATAATGATCCAGATGGCTAAACCATTCGACTGAAAGACAAGTAATGGGGTACAGAAGAACAGAGTTAGGATTAATGATTCCTGACTTGGAGGCTTCGAAGAGGTGGTGTTGTATATTCTAAACTGGAAAGGATGACAAACATTTAGAAGTAACTCCAGGTTGACAAAGCAGCATGAACAGGTGTTGAGCCCAATGATGTATTGGGACATTTTGTCCCTGAGAACATTTAGTTTTAGTGTTGTACCAGTTAACATGGTTTTGGAGGCAAGGAAGTGAATACCCAATGAAAAGAGGATTTATTAACTCAGAAAATTGTATTATCTCATAAAGAGGCAGCAGTTTTTAGGGTTGGTTAATCAGAGGCACATCATGACATTCAGAATCCCCAGGTTTTCCCCCTTTTTCTCTCTGCCTTGCTTGGCATTGACTTTGTCCTCAGGCTGCTCTTTTCCCAGTTGAAAGTTTGCTGCTTCACTCCAATTATCTACTCACAGCTGTGTTCAAAAGCAGACCAGACCAGTGTGTCTCTTCTGTTTCTTCCCCTCCTCCCTGCTCCTTCCTTCCTTCCTTCCTTCCTTCCTTCCTTCCTTCCTTCCTCCCTTCCTCCCTCCCTCCCTCCCTCCCTCCCTCCCTTCCTTCAGTTTTGGAGGCCAGAAATTCGACATCAAGGCCCCCATTCCTTTTTGTTACAGAAAAATAACTTTCCCAGAAGCACCCAGAGGGCTCCTTCTTAATCTGATAGGCCACATCACCATGTCACATGCCCCACCTAATCCATCAGGGGCTAGATGACATAAAATTATCGTGATAGATTTAAATTAATCAACAGTCATCTCTCTAGGATTTGAGAGGGGATAACCCTCCCTGAACACATGGTCCCCTTTAAATTGGGATTCTATTAATAAGGAAGAAGGTGAGTCTGTACAGTTGTTGAATGAGCAACAGCAATATCTTCACAGTTTTTATGAGCAGACATTGTAATCAGACTTATACCAATACAGATAAGCTTTCATCAAGAAAATATTTTCTGAGGGCAACTTTATTAAGCTACTTCATTGGCAGTATATTTTACTTTCTTCCACTTTCATTTTAGTTTTACTTAAATTATTTTCACAAGTACAGATTCTTTCCCATATAAATCTTATACCACAGATTTATTTCGTTGACTGTTTTACCTGTTCTTATTAAATTTTGTTGATTATATTTGTAGGTTTTGACATTATTTTCTTTTGAGACTGTAATTTGTACCAGTTTTCTTGGGTCAGATTTGTGGGTCAAGAAATTTTACTATTTTTTAATTTATTATTATTTTTTTGCTGCGCCATGCAGCTTGTAGGATCTTAGTTCCCCTACCAGGAATCAAACCTGCGTCCTTGAAGTGTAAGCATGGAGTCCTAACCACTGGACCATCAGGGAATTCCCTAGAAATTTAATTTTATGTTGATTATTTCTATCAATAATCTTCATTAAGAATTGAATGCAACTAATTAAATCTATTTCTCAGTTAATTCATGATAAAACTGTGAGCAGTTCTTCTTAAGTATGCAAAGATTGATCTGTTGTTCAGATTGCTGTGTTGCAGAGGTCTGCAAACTAGAACCCCACAGACCAAACCTGGCCTGACACCTATTTTCGTAGGGCTGTAAACTAAGAATGATTTTGTAGATGGATATTTGTAATCTGTTGGATGAAAGGGAATGTGAGCTTTGAACCCCAGTTAAGAAAAATGTTACCCGCTCCCCCAAATTAATTTCATTTTTAATTAATAGACCTGTATTACAAAAATTATAATCAACTAGTATTATATTTTGAATTTTGTCAATATGGAAATGGAATTTGTTTTCTCTCTTGTTATATAAATATTACATAATATTTTTGATTTTGCCTCTTGGCTCCCAAATCCTAAAATATTTACTAACTGGCTCTTTACAGGAAAAGTTTGCCAACCCCTGTTCTATTGTATTGCTAACCTGATTCTTCTGAACACTTACACTCTCCGTTCCCTACACTAACTGTCTGTTCCATTGGAGTTACAAGAAACAAATAGTGGCGAAGTCAGTGTGTTCTTAGGGTCAAAATCATCGTATCTTGGCCCTGAATCAAGGCCAGCAGTTTGCTGAAGCTGTTGGTTTCAAGCAGGAGCCTAAAGAAATCTCTTTCTATGGTCTGTTGGCCGTTTCAGAACTTTGGAAATGTAATGGTCAATTCATTAGAAAGAAACATCTGGAAAAAAAAAAAAAAATCATCGTATCAAATGTCCAGCTTCAGTTGCGAACATAGCATGTTGGGGGAGTGCAGTCATATTGTTCAGTGATGAAGAGAGATAGCTCTTCAAACTGTAACGTATTATGTCAAATAAAAATACAAATTGATATAAGAGTTTTCCGTAAAAGTCAGTTTCTCCTTTTTTTTTTATTTAAGTGTGATAAATCTAACATGTTAGAAAAGCCAAAATATCATTGCTTTCAAAGCATCAACCTTTGAGGGCAACGTAGTCTTTTGAGACTTGGGAGAGCTGAAAGGCCTTGTATGTTTTCTTACTGAAGTTCACTCCTTTTTCTTTCATTTAACAGATGAGGAAAAAGAAAATAATAGAGCATCCAAGCCCCACTCCACTCCTGCTACTCTGCAATGGTAAGTTCCATTCTGAGCAAGTTCTCTCTTGATGGGAAGCTCATATAACTATGTCTTCCTACAGACAGGACAGCATATTACTTGGGTATTTTGACATTGTCATAATAACTTGACATCCAATAGTCCATATGCAATCAGTTTAATTTGTAATTATGCATAAAATACTCAACTTAGATATAGACAGGAGATTTGAATTTTCATATTTATTTTATTTGGGAATAGATTTTTTTTCCATCATCAAAACACTGGCAAGGACTGGATTCTACATGGATGTTATTAATTGATTTTAATAGAGTCTATTATTTTAATAAATAATGTTGCAGCCAATTATAGAAACATAGGTCTGTTCACCCCTACCAATGAACTCTTAATAAATTAATAATTTATTGCAACTATACTACATTTATTTTAACATTAATACAAATTATCTACTTGAGTGGCTCTCCCTTTAATATTTGGAATTCCTGGACTTGATGTTATAGTTAATGATGTTGTTTAAGTGTTTGCACCCATGTTTGGTATTTACAGGTAAATTCTCCTCTAAGAGTTTTACTTAGAAATTATGTTGTAGCTTTGAACACCAAAGCTATTCTATACCTGAGACTCACCTCTCAGAAGAACTTGTCAGTTAAGGGCTATTACCACTCTAGTTCAGCCCAGCAAAGCTGAAGGAAGTAAGGAACAAAGGGGAAGGAGAGAGAAGTGGGGAGGGGAAAGGAATGAATCTACTGTGTGCCAGCCTGCATGCTAGGCACTTTGTATACATGCCTCATTTCATTCTCACAATTCTGTGAAGTTGGTATTGTTATGCCCATTTTACAGATGAGGAAAATAAAGCTTAGACAGTTAAATCATTTGCCTGAATATACACATAGCCATGAAGTGGCAGAGGCAGGAACCTGGCTGGGTCACTTTAATTGCAAAGCCTATGCTTTTGAAGAAAGGAAGAGAAAAATCAGGAAGGATGGAGAAGAGAGACTAGATCAGAAGAGGAAGCAGATTGGCTTTAATGAGCAAATCATATTAGATTCTTCTGACTAATCCACCCACAGGTGAGAGGAAAACAACATTGGGAGAAAGCATTCACAAATGTAACTCAATCTTCTCTAACAAGAGTCTCAGTAGTCAACTTGTTTTGCTACAAGGATAGCAGAGGTTGTGTTCAAGAGCTCCATTTCCAGCCTTTTGGCTTGTTTCCATCAGTTTGTCCCTACATTCTTTTTCTCATTGCATTTGCTGCTTTTTGCTTTATTTAAAATTCTACTTTACTTCCCCGGTCAAATCTCTCCCTGCACTCCTTACCCCCAAATTATGGTCACACAGATTCTCATAATGCTAGCGCATTGAATGAGGCATCAACATAAAAGAGTTTGGGGGTGAGAGTTTCTAGAAATGCTAGGAATCAACAGACACTCTTGCTTTAATAACCTGAACATGTCATACATTTCAGAATAAAAAATTTGAAAGGGACTAGAAGAAAATCACCTTGTTCATGTCTGTTTTTCTGTGATTCTCTGACATTTGCCTGGCAACAGCAAGGCTGTAGATAGAGTAATCTCTTAAATCACACTGCCAGGAATTAACTCCCAGCTCTGCTTTTCTAGCTGTGTGACCTTGGGCAAGGTCCTTCACCTCTCTGTGCCTCAGTCTACCTGTAAAATAGAGATGGCAGTAGTATTTACCTTATATCAGGGGTCCCCAACACCCGGGCCGTGGACCGGTACTGGTCTGCAGCCTGTTAGGAACCGGGCCGCCAAGCAGGAGGTGAGCGGCAGGTGAAGCTTTTTGTGCCGCTCCCATTGCTCGCGTTACCGCCTGAACCATCCCCCTGCCGCCCGCCCGTCCATGCAAAAATTGTCTTCCATGAAACGGGTCCCTGGTGCCAAAAAGGTTGGGGACCACTGCCTTCTGGGGTAGTCACAAAGAGGAAGTGAGTTCGTATATACAGAGTGCTTGAACAGTGTCTGGTGTAGGGTGGGTACTAGGTAAATCTTAGCCATGGATTGCTCAGCAGACCTCTTCCTTCTGAGTCCCACAAGGACATCCCAGAATAGGGTTTCCCTCCTTCCTGACATATGCATTGTCAGTTCTCCTTCTACTGTACGTAATTCTATACAAAATATCGGTTTTTCTAAATAAAAGGTCACATAGATCATTCCGGAAGAAATTTCATCCTCCAATTCACAGAGTTAGGCAGTGGATTTGTTTTGATGAAAAAAATCTGTTTTCAGAGTCAGATCAGGTTTGAAAATGTATAAATTTGAGTATTATTATCAAAAGGCAACAAGTTGTTCAAACATCAAATTGTCCTCTAATTCCTTTTATATTATATTTTTAAGATAGAATTTTAGTTATTAACTCATTTAAGAAATGTTTACTGAGCACCTACTGTTTGCTAGGCCCTATTCTAGGCCCTGGGAATGCAGTAGTGGATAAGACAGACCAAGAATAGGGGCCGATGAGAGAAAAAGTTGGGTGATAATTTAAAAAATTATTATATTAATGATAAATAAATAAACAAGGAATGTATTAGAGACGGATAAGTGCTGTGTGGAGAATTAGAACTGGCTGATATGATCATATCTCAGAGGCTATTTTAGGTTGAATGGTGAGGGAAAGCTTCCTTTAGGAGGTGATATTTAAGTGAATATTTGTATGACAAGAAGCCCTCAGACACCATGACGATGTTAAAATCAGGGAAACGTTCCAGGCAGAGGGAACATTGCAGGTCAAGCTCTCCCAGAGGCAGACTCTGAGCTGTGCCTACAGGTGGCCTATTATGTAAGGCACCCAGTATTGACACCATGAGGGTACGAGGGGATGGGCAGAGGGGGTCTTGGGCTGGGAGGAGGCTACAAGAGGCTTCAGCGATCTCACAGGGAGTTCTGAAGCCAGGGTGGGCCTCAGAGATGAACTGAGGCAATGGATTCAGGTTTTTATTCCCCCATCTTGCTCATCACTGCAGGTAGTTTGCCCCGAGGGAGAGGGGATATAACTTTGGTGTTTTTTTTTTAATTGGAGTATAATTGTTTTACGATGTTGTGTTAGTATCTGCTGTACAGTGAAGTGAATTGGCTATATGTATACCTATATCCCCTCCCTGTTGGACCTCCCTCCCACCCCCCATCCCACCCATCTAGGTCATCACAGAGCACCGAGCTGAGCTCCCCGTGCTACACAGCATGTTCCCACTAGCTATCTGTTTTACACATGGTAGTGCACCTATGTCAAACCTAATCTCCCAGTTCATCCCATCTCCCCTTCCAGCCCTGTGAGGGGGCATAACTTTGGGCGAGGCAGTTCCCATTCTGCTGAGGACAACTCCCCAGGAAGGATTCAGCCTCAGCAATCAACGTCTCAGCGGTGGGGAAGAACGCCTCAGTCCTGAAAGGTAACCTGGGCACAGACCACAGTATCCTCCACTCTCTCCAGGCTGGAAGCAGGCTGGGCTTGTTCAAGGAGCTGCAGAAGGTGGCCCGTGTGGTTGGAGCATAGCCAGCAAGGAAGACAGCAGTACAGATGAGGTGGGGGAAGGAGGCAGGGGAGTATGTAAATAGCAGGGAAGAAAAAGTAGGACATTTCTCTAAACTTAGGGATAGAGCCATGCTTAAAACCATGGTGGAGGACATGTGACATCCTATATCAAGTTCCACATGAGTAAACTTTTTTAGACTAGACTTTCAGTATAAAAACTTTGTCTCTCAACAGGAACTGGATGCACCCTCCACTCTACAAGGGAAAGTGATATAATTTATACCACATGTCCCCTCTTTGCTCTGGCTGCCAGGGAGTTCAGAGCTAAGTCTGATATTTATATACTTTTTTTTGTTTTTGTTTTTGTTTTTGCATTACACGGGCCTCTCACTGTTGTGGCCTCTCCCATTGCGGAGCACAGGCTCTGGACGCGCAGGCTCAGCGGCTATGGCCCATGGGCCCTGCCGCTCCGCGGCATGTGGGATCTTCCTGGACCAGGGCACGAACCTGTGTCCCCTGCATCAGCAGGCAGACTCTCAACCACTGTGCCACCAGGGAAGCCCTATATACTTTTTAATCTCTTTCCTTTGTCTAACTTTCTTCTTTTTGTGTTTATTTTGTTAGCTTTTTAGAAAACGGCAAGGTGCAAATAAATTCAACAAATACACATTTACATTTAAATTTTATTTTATTTACGCAAAATGCATTTCCTTATTTTAAAACGAAAACATTACAGATAAGGTTAAAGTCCACCTACTCCAGAGCAGCGCTGTTACCAGTGAGAAATATGTATGTGTGTGGGTGTGTATACATGCGTGTGTGTGTGTGTGTATATATATATATATATATATATATTTTTTTTTTTTTTTTTTACTGTCCCTTGCCTGTGCATTTACATGCATATGTACTGATAGAAGTTTCTGAATTGTGGTTTTTTATTTAGTATTTTCTCCTTTATAAAAAGAATACAGACATAGAACACTAAAAATATTGTTCCACAACCTGTCACACTATCTTGATCCACAGCTTGCTTTCTCCCCTTAGTCGAATACCCTGAAGCTATACCCAGATTAGTCCCCAGAGAACAACCTCATTTTAACTGCTGCACAGAATTTCATGTAAGACAGCGGCAGAATTCAGTTCGCCATTTCCCTCTTTGACCTACATTTAGGTTGTGTCCAAATCTCATCTTTGCCTTTACACATAAAGTCCCAAAGAACATCTTCATATGTCCCCTCACACACCTGCTGAAGTGTTTCTTCTGTCTGGGTATCAGGCAGTGGAAGTGCTGGGCGCACAGAAAATGTTAACAGGATTGCAAAATTGCCCACTCTAATGGCCTTACCATTTATAATATACCATTTATATTCAGCCGAAGTATACAAAATGCTGCTTTTTAAAAAATGGGAACCTAGCTCCGCAACATGGCATCTCATCCTCCGAGGCGTCTGTATCCTTCGTGTTGTCCCCTCTCTCCAGGGGTAGCAGGCAGCCCCAGGAAAGGACCTTGGCCTCACCGCCAAGGT